TGTGGGTAGACTCCTCATGTATCACGGTTTGATTTCTCACTTGCTGCAACAATATGAGGGAAGTGCGCAAACACATGAAGAGACGTCCTCCACGTGTGGTGACTTCAGAGGCTCAGCAGCTTCATGTTCCTGAATTGGACAACCATGGTAGACTTGAAAGCTTTGAATGATCTGAACACATTTGGCTGTGGGTCAAAACCAATGGGATCCCATTTTGGGGTAGGTGCACCACCCATTTTATGACCAATTTTAGTGGTTGGATTGGCACGTTGACCCCTGGCCATTTGGAGAAGCCAAGCTTTGGTCAACGCATTTGGACCCCAGAAGCCAACCTAAACCCTAAACCCTCAACCCTAAACCCGGTCAAAGGGCATGGCATCGAGGCTGTTCTGGACCTTCTGCCTGCTCACCTTCTTCCAGTGCGTGGCCGGCATGGTGGCGGCCACCCTCTGTCGAGGCTTCTTGGAGGATGAGAGCCAGGATTTGGGGCTACGGAACGAGGTGTTCAAGCGCCCCGGATTGAATCGCCGCGTCAAGGAGCCCGGGTTGAAGGGTGGGAAATTCAGCTTGGTAGTATAACGTTTAACATACTTGAAACCTACTAAGTTGAGCTGCAAGTGATACTCGTGGGACAACAGGGGTTGACTCAGACCCAGGCCGAAAACTTATAAGCCTGGGAACCCCTGTCCCACTTATAGCCATGCTATCTAACGTTGACTGAAGATTAGTTGTCCCCTTGACTTTTTCTCGGGAGATGTCCCATAGGAGCTCGACACTGGAGGGGAACATCCACCCCCGGTGTGTACGGAGGTGAAACGAAAGGGGGTTTAGGTGTCCAGTTTCTGTGACACCAAGGAACGCCTGTGAAGGAACAAAGTAGTCATGGGGATGGCCTTCTTTGTGTCAAGGGAATTTGGACCCCAACAAATGGTGGCCTTCCTTTTGGCATCCCTTTAAAGCAAGATGACCAAGGGCGCCTTCAAAAGTCTTCGTCAAATTGGGGGATGTGTTTTTGAGTTCGTAGCATTCTGAGGTTGGTTCAGAGGGCACCATCGGCAAGCCACAGCTTGTTGCGTCCCACTGCCCGTGCTGTACTCAATTGCGTGTGATACCAAGGAAACGCCCCTTAAAGTGAGAAAGTAGTCGTGGCGCCTCACGCTGGTATTGCTGGAATTGCGAGCCACATTCGAGTGGGCCATTTGGTCAGCAATTTCAACCTTTACGGACCCTTCCACGCCCACTGTGCGTGTCTCTTTGTGCGCAGATGGCCGTTGAGAATAAGAAAATTGAACTTGATCATTCCGTGGGACAGTTACGAAATTCATGTCCGACCACTTTGAAACCATGGGAAACCATTGTTGGTTGGTATTTACAAGGGAATCATCATTCCAGGGTTTCTTAGGTGGTGCAGGATTTCGCCCATCCACACTATGATGCTCATGACGCATATTGCTGCCTGCACCAGGAAACGCAGACATGCTGCACTGGTAGACAGAGCACATGTCAGTGAGATCGGAGACCAGTGATGTGCTGCCAGTCGAAGCGAGTTTTGCTTGATGCGGGGGTACATTCGTGTTTTATGGCGTATCCATTTTCGCCTTGGTTAGTGTCCCTCGTCTGACTATTTTGACACACGCGCACAGCCAGGTACTACGGCACTTTCAGTCGGACCATTCTCACGATGTTTGAGATCTTGTTCGCTAATTGGAGTCCTCCCTGCCGGGTGTTGGTTGAGAACATCAGCGAGTACTTCTCCATCTTCTTCCTGGTCTACAGGCCCTCCACACAGCTTGCCGCTGACTGAGTTTAGATGTTGTATGCAAACAAGGCCTTTGCGCAGAAAGGCATCGTTCTCATTAAAGAGCACAAGGCCTGTTGCTTGCCAGGCTCTACAACACAGACATCTGCTTTGCATGCTTCTTCATGATGCAGCGGCAATTGCTCGTAAGCGCTTTTCAAGTCGCCAAAGGGTGGTACCTTTTGAGGAAGTGGCTTAAGGGCTCAAACAGGACTCAACGTACATCGGAAGGACCTGGAATTGATCAGGCTGCCGTAAGTACCATCAGCGCTTTGAAGCGGTGTCCTTATGAAAGGGATGCGAGCGCATGGCTTCACTGCAGCTTTTTGTAAGCTGTAAGTATTTGTTTTCAGATGTGGGTGTGGCTCAAAATTAAACAGGGGGGTTACGCAAGTTTGGTCCATGTTTCCACTTACCAGGGTTCCATTTTGGTACCGGTTTTTGGAGCCACAGCCATGTGTCTGAAGGCAGCAACCTATGGTTGACGTTTCCGTGGATATGTTTGTGTTCCAGGCACCGGTATCACCGGTACAAGCTTCCATTGCCCCGGCAGGTGCATCATCGGATTCGCAGTTCTCAACGTGGCAGGGGCCTGAGTGTCTCACGAACACAACGTGTCAGACTCCTTGAGGCGCGCTTGAGGCGCGGAACCTTAGAGAGGCGTTGTCAGGTCACCTGAGGTAGGCCGTAGGTCTGTCCCACTCGTTCCCGCGCAAAAGTCTGGAGGATGTGAGGTATGTCCCTATAGGCAGAATCGTCGCATTGTGACGGCCGGTGTTTACGGCAATGCGGTCAACAATTGCCATTGGCTTCGTTTGTTCGGATTGCAGCTGGAAATTGCACGAACACCAACCAAAGCTTCACTGTTCTGGGGCATGTTTTTGGGGTTTTTAGTTTTTTGGTTCTGTTCATTTATACTGGGTGTCTGCAAGAAACAAAGTTTTTTGCTACCATACCAAGAGTAGAGATGAAAGGGTACCCTTTCTGGGTTAAGTTAGCATTGGTTGTCTGAAAGTCCACCCCAAATGGCCCTCGGGCGTGCGCTATCAAACACATTGCCAGTCGCCTTGAAATGTTGCTTTCCAACAGTGGACGCTGATAGGAGCGTCAAAGACTGTGTTAGCGGGTGTGATTGTTCTGTCGGAGATGGGTATAGGAGGAGATGGTGGTGCCTGTGGGTGATTGTGATAACATTCGGTTATAAATGGTTAGATCCGACCCTGTCCGCTTCCATCGGAAAGAGGGTAATGACCTCTTGAGGGCGCCCTCAAGGAAGGCCGATACGAGGGCGATCCACACATTTCCGGTTCCAGTCCATGCGGGAAAGGCAGGCCATTGGTCGCAACTAGGTCCCAACCGTTGCCTGAAACGAAAGTGCTGAGGGAGTGTGCTTGGCAGCGATGTAGCGGATTTGGCACGTTTGATCACGTTGTTTGGGATTGCCCTTGCAGTTCACTTGGGTTTGCCGCACGTTATCAACGTCGACAACCTCAGGCGGCGGGGGCTTCTATGGAGTAGCACAATTCCGGAGGTTGAGGGTCAGGCAGTCGACATGAATACCGTGCATTCTTGGTTAGTTGTTGTCCAAAAGGCCATTTGGCGTGCTGTTCACGAGCCTGATTCGTGAGTAGCGTCACTTTGTTGCCCTTCCGGCTCCCGCGGGCTGCCTCTTTGGCTGCTGCTGCGGTGCGGCCGTTGGTTGGCTGGTTGGTGGTTCGGTTGGCTGGTTGGTGGCGGGGTCGGCTTGGCCGGCCCCACATCCGTGTGCAGTTCGCTTGGTGGGCTGCCACACGCTATCAACGTCTACACACAATTCCTGAGGTTGGAGCAGTCTTCGTTCAGCAGACCATGAAGATTGCCGCTCGGACTGTTATTGCAGGCCCCCAGATTTTCCTCCAGACGGAGCCCACAACTGGCCACTTAAGCTTCGGAATGCGCTAGCATGGGCCGTTGTAGTTACACAACATTGGGCGCGCAGGTACATGTGTGAGGTGCATGTGTACACTCATCGTAGATTCATATATACATATGTATTTATATACCTAGAGATTCGTTGCGGCAGAAATTTCTGCCGCAAATCAAAGAAGGCGCCTTTTTGGATTTGCGGCATTTCTTCCTGATTTGCGGCGTTTTTTTAGAATTGCGGCATAACTTGTTTTCAGTTTTTTCTACCCCCCGATTTGCGGCGGAAATCGGCGGGAATGCGGCGGAAATCGGCGGGAATGCGGCGGAAATTCCCGGAAAGCAAACGGTGTCGCGGCGTTTTTTCTTTTGGTTGCGGTGTTTTTTTGGTTTGCGCAATGCGGCGGGAATTTCCGCCGCAATGCATTGCGGCAGAAATTTCCGCCGCAGGAAGTTCTAGGTATGTATATATATATATATATACACATGCAACTATGTTCGCATGTACATGCGTCTAGATATAACAGATCGTATGCACGCTGCACATGTATATCCCATTTCAATTGTCATGACCATTTCCATGACAGTTCCGCACGCGGATCCACTTAGCAGCCCGAGCAACGAGCCATGTGTGAGTAGTTAAACTAGTTGGAAGGAAAACGCAGCTTGTCTTGCCTCACGGGTTTCTATTGCCATTCTAATAAGATCCTACTTGGAAAGGAATTCGGGCTTAATATCTAATCCAACATCACGATTCCAATCAAATTAATGAAAAGAAACAAGCACCTTGTATTGCCAGAGTTTTCAGGTCTTTCTTGAATCAAAATTATGTTCCAATGAACGTCTCAATTTGAAAGGAACTCCTGTTTAGAATCCACTCCAAAGGAAGAACTCCAATTGAGTTCAACTGAAAGTGCTACTTAAACCTAAAGCGTTGCAATTAATTTCGTGTAAACCAATAGAACTGAAATTGTTTTTGCCCTGGATTTCTATTGGTGTTTCACTCCTTTGAAGAGGCACACAAAATACTAGAAGACGGGGGTGAGGACGCATGCTTGCAGTGGATGGCCTTCCCCAGAAGCCAGGAACAACCACAACAAATAGACAAGCAACTAATAAGCAAAAACATTTAAACGCAGGAAACACAGAAACCAGGAAAACTACAAGACATTTCCTCAAGAAAGGCCCAAACCAGTAAAAAAAAACAATAGAACAACATATAAAGCAAACTTGAAAAAAACAAGGGACAGATGTCAATGAGGCAGATGCTGGAAGTAGCTGACCTTATACTGGGAGACCCTCGTTTTTTTCTCCGGTTTCTCTGGTTTGGGGGCCCATCTTCTCGTTGCAATTTTTGGTTTGGGGCCCAGGTCTGCGGGACCCCAATCTCTTTGTTGGGATTTCTGGCTTTGCGTTGTTGTTGTTTTTTTCTCCCGGGTGTGCGGCACTTCTTGAAGACCTGGTTTGTTTCCTCTTCTTTTCCCCACCCGACAGGAAGGGGTTGTTAGATTTTATGTTGGAATCCGCGTTTGCGATGCTTCTACACCAGGCCCCCACCCAGTATCGAGCCAGAGCGGCTCGCCAGTGGATCCCGCCGAGTATCCCGCCAGAGCAGCTGGCCAGTGGATATCCCGCCAGAGCAGCTCGCCAGTGGATCCCGCCGAGTATCCCGCTGAGTATCCCAGAGCAGCTCGCCAGTGGATCGCGCCGAGTATCCTGCCGGTGGATCCTGCCGAGTATCCGGCCAGTATCGAGCCGGAGCGGCTCGCCAGTATTCGCCAGTGGATCCCGCCAGTATCCCGCCAGAGCAGCTCGCCAGTCTGGTTTTGCTTAATGTCCCGCCCGGCGCACTCGGAAAGGGTGATGCTTTTGTGTTGCTTTGGGTTGTGAATAAGCAACTTCGTTCAATCCCCTGTCGGGTTTCTTTTTGGAAGGGGCTTGGCTTTTGTTAACGGGACCGATGTTTGAGTTCTCGAGATCGGCTCGCAGACAAGTGGAGTTTGACACACAGGCAGGTGGATAAGGCTCTCAACGCAAAGCAAGCCACTCGAAAACCATGCTTGAATTCACACAACCGTGTTCACGGTCGTAAGCTCGTGAGTGTGGAGGGTGGGGATCGCTCGAAGCGAAGTAATTTTTGTGGTTTTAGCTTGGTCTAGTTTACAGTGAGTACCATAAAGAATATGGATGTATGTGCACGCATCAATGCGGGCTGGGTTGTTCTCCCAGACTTGGTTGCGTTTTTGTTTTGTTCCGTTTGGACAGGGTTTGGATCGCCAAGCTTGGACCAAGCCCTGCAAGTTTTTCCGGCGCCATGGCTTTTGTAACCCGACGCCCCGCATTTCGGCCAGGCCAGTACGGATGAGCAGTTGGCATTCAAGCAGAAAGAACGGGAGCTGGCCAGCTATACCCGCAAGGCCCGCTCCAGCTTCAAACGTGTTTCCGGAGGTGTCCATCAACTTTGGTGGGGACGCGGAGGAGCTCATGTTCAAGGGGATGTACTCAATTTGTCATGCATGTGCTTTCGGGGAACAATTAGGTTTATTCGTGACTCATGTATCTGTTTTCTCCCTCCCTGCTCAGACCGCTCTTGGGGGGCTCATCGGCCGTTTTCGTTTCTCTTGACTTGAGCGGCGAGGAAATTGAATGGCCATGTGGGAGACAGCCTTGTGAAGCATATTCTGGTTGCCTAGGCCCCCTGAAGTCGTTGCGTTTTGAGGAGTTCTCAACAGACATTATGTGTGGGGGGGGTGGCGTGGTGGTTCCCACCATGTCGAGTGCAATCTTGAGGATGCCCCTTCAAACGGGCCCATGCTGATTTCCGCTTTATACGGGGAACCTTCTGCAGCTTTCACTGCATCTCTCAAAGGTTGGCCTAAAAGCCGGATCCATCTTGAACCTCTGCAGATCTTGAGGCCGACTCTGCCTGCTCGGGTCCTTTGGTGCATTCTGAGGATGCTTGGATAGGTCGAGAATGTGATTTCTTTGCCTTGCGAAAGGCTTGACTTTGTCAGTCAGCTCAGCCAACCCTAAGTTTCAGGCGACTGAGGCAAGCAAGCCAGTAGATCTGCAATGCTGTTTGCGACCGATCTGCACAAGTTAGTATGCCCCTTTCTTCTCAAGCTATTAACGGAACAGCTTCCCCTGATCAGTTTAGGCTCAGAGGTCGACCTAGCAATGAGCATGTCTTTGCATTTCTATCAACCATCAAAGGCAGGGTTATTTTCTTGCTGGTGCTCAGTTGGGAAGGAGACATGGAATGACAATGAGAAAACCATCCAACTGGTGGGCTTCCTTTTAGGGAAGTATTGGGTTCATTCCCTCATTCACTGAGCACCAGCAAGTGCTTGTGAAACTCACTCTTTTTTTGAGTTTCGGGTTTTTGGTTGGTTTTTGGTCACACCAACCGCGGAGCTATTTTTTTTCTTCGGGTTTTCGGCTCTTGTTTCCGTAGGTGAAGAAGCTCTTCCAGACGATGGACGTCTCTGGGGATGGCACCATCAACTTCGAGGAGTTCTCGAAGCTCGTGCAGTCGCCCATGCTGCAGTTCCTTCTGAGCCAGCTCCTTGGCTTGCGATTAATGAATCGAATTCCGCTGGGCGAATTCCTCTGGGTGGGATCACAAGGGGTTTCTCCAACCACTTCTGTGCTACAAGGGAATCCCCGTTTATATGAATAAAATATGTAGTCTTTGGGGAGCCCTTTCTGTTGTATCACAGAAGTGGTCATTCCCCACAGCCCTGGTTTCGACCATTGTAACCAGCCGTTTTCCCGATCGGGTTTCCGGAGGTTGTCTAGAAAGAAAGATCCCTGGAAAGAATGGGAAAGGTACCAGTAGAAGTCTCATCAGGGCCATGCAAGCACATAGCCATTACGGCACCATAGGACCGAGCGAGGACTGAGCGAGAAGCGTACAAACGACTGACAGGCGCACGGCGGCATGGCGCCCAGTGACTACGCAACCCCGACTTACAGCCACAGCCAAGAAACATGCAAGTGGTTGTTGGATGTTGCCTCCAACAAGGCCTGGACTAGACTAGATGAAAACAGGCTTTGGCCAGCACGCGTATGCAGCAAACTTTCCCGCCCTAGTGCCGAGCTAGCGTCAAGCTAGCGCTGCCGGTGGGATTTACATGACGTAGGCGGGCCGCTTCATTTCGAAGAGAAAAAGCAAGACGCAACAATAATTGTGCACATACTGTACATAGCTCCTTCACCATAATTGTGCACAGTTCCAGGACGGAACGCACAGAGTTTTGACCGTGTCATCGAGCCGACTTCAGCATGGAAGTTTGCCAACAGGAGATGCCCGCTGCCCAGTTTAGTAACCGAATTTCCAAGCTACTGTGACATGGGTGACACGAGCTTCCCCACTGTGTGCGCGGAGAGGTTGAAGGGCGTGGCAGAGATGCAGAAGAGCCACTATAGAGAAGGCGAGAGAATGAGAACCCAGGACCAACCGCGCCCCGAAATCCGCCTGATGAACACCCTCTTAGATCTGAGAAGTGTTGTTTCTTGTTTTTGCCGGGCATTCTAGCCATCAAGGCATGGCGATTCACGCTCAGAACTGGGAACCAACACTTTTGACAACCGGCAATATACGTATACGGATAGTGTGTCTTTGTGTCATACTGTAGGGCCAAGGGCCCGGAAACAAACGAGGAAAAGCTCGGTAGTCGCGTGGGCCACATTCCGTGTCCACATCTCCAACAAGCCCTCCACTCAGAAGTGTTCTCACGGCTTTGCACGCCAGCTCCAGTTTCTCGGAAAACCCTTGACCGGGCTTCAAAAGCGGCCGAAACACATGAACGAACAAGAAACAGTGGCAGCTTGCTAGCTGAATAGATAAAGCGATCATAAACAACAACGCTTGTTCACAGACACGTCCCTTTGCGCACAACATGTACTGTAAAGTTGCGATGCTCGATCTGGCGCTGCCAAAGTGTACTTTGTGCACTACATGTGTACTGATAACTTGCGATCTTTGAGCTGGAGCTGCCAAAGTGTACTTCTATGCGCGATGTGTGGTCGGTTGAGATGTCCAAGGCGGAAAGTACAGAAAACACACAACACTGTAAATTGATAGAATAGCTAAGAACCGATAGCCCAAAATCGGGCAGTCGTATAGTCAGGGCGTTGTTGCACAACCTGAGTTGGAATATCTAGCAGTTGCTGCAGCGCTGGAGGCTCGATCTGGAGTATCACGACTTGCTGAGCCTCTTCGAGTTTCTCGATAATGGAGATGGACAGATCACCCTCGCGGACAGATGCTGCAGGGTCATAGTGCGTTGCATCATTTGGACAGGGTCCTCGGAATCCACCAGAACGGTCCAGGAAAACAAACAGCGAACATCCAATGGTGGTGAGAATGTTTGCAAGTTGGTTTTGCCTTTGTGGTTTCCGAGGACGTAGGAGCCTGCATCTCAAGAGCTCATGCACTACTGCAAGGAGTCAGTTGTTTAATTCGAGTTGCCAGCTTGCAAGTACACCTAGAACTTCACCTGCTGATCCAGTAGCCAGCTGCCCCTCAAGGTTTGAACTCAGGAGGTGGACACGTCGGGAGGCCAGCGAAAGCATCTAAATCTGAAGCAGTTTTCTGCATGCGGCTGATGAGCCGCCCTTCAATTGTGTTGCAATTTCATGCAACTCGTGAGATGCTTCATGAAATCACGCACTTGCCCAAGTGCACTGGCGCAGCATTGCCCACTTGAGCGCACTGTTTCTGCCAAATAGGCGCACACGCTCAAGCGCACCCGCGCAGCACTGCTTACGTGCCCGCCAAATGAGAAGCATACATGCACCCGAGTAGCACTGCTCACTTGCCTAGTGTGCTCAAGTGCGCCCGCGCCTTTTGCTGGGCAGGGCCACGTGAGATGGACCTTTGTTCGAAGGTCGCTGGAAGGTAAAACCGTTTCTGTTGCAGATATTGGTTGACAGTGGCGTAGTTCTTTCAGGTTTGTGATGGTGCTTTGGATGAAGCTGGCCTCATGCTGGGGTCCGTATATTTGCTGCTTTTCAACATCAGCCTTTTGGCCACAGGAGGGTTTTCCCAGGCATAGGGGTGATGAAAAGAGATGAAAAGTCGGGCGTGCCATGCAGGAGTTCATCGATGGGGCAGCCAAGCTCCGAGGCAATGCTAAGGCCCTGGACATTTGGCGCATAGAGACCAAAATTGAGGCGGGGAGACACTCACCCACCCACCCATTTTGGATCCTTGTTTTGGAGGGCCATGACACAGTCACTGGTCTATTCTTAGTTTCTTCTCTTTCAAGCAATCACGCAAACACATACCCAAATTGACCTGTGTGTGTGTCTTTAGAGGGTACCTTTAAGTGCCAAACCAAGGGTCCACCATTTCCAAATGGACCCCTGGTAGCTTCCCTTCGGTGTTTCCCCTTCTTCCACGTGCTTGAAGAATATTTTATCTATTCCCCTGTTGGTGTTTGAGGGAATCTATCACCACTGAACATATGTTCATTTTCTCCAGGGGGCTCAAGCAACTCGGGGTAGCAGGTCTTCTTCGGCGAGGTGCTCGCAGCGTTACGAGTTGAGACGAACGTGCAACAGGCGTGCTCCGAAGGGCGGATTTTGGCCCCCAGAACTGCTAGAGTTTTTTTGTTTTTCTCCGGGGGGGGGTTGGGGCCATTTACGCCGTAGTTCGGAAACGCGGGGTGCCTGAAACTTTCGGTTTAAGCAACCATGGCACATCCACAGCTGCAAGCGCAGAGCAACAGACTCTTTCGAGATCCTGAAAGAGAAGAAGCTCGGAATTGTTGGAAACAGCAATGCACGGAAGTTGGTTGGAATCTCAAACACCCACAAACTCTTAGAAATAATATGGAACCCGAAAAAGGTATTCCGACAAAGGAGGTTCCCCCTACAAATGAGGGGCTTAAACCACTATCCGCGGCTCTATGTCACGGCCCCGGTCACACGTTTTCTTGCTGCGCCTGCCGCTCGGTGATCAAACAAACGCGCGTCGGGCAGGCCATTCATGGCAGCCTCATCAATCTAAGATTCCAAAATGGCTTCAATGCTTTGCTGACCCTCAAGCGAAGGATCTACACTATTCTCTACATGCTCAACCACAAGGCCCTGGCGCAATACTCAGTGAAGGTTGGTTTTTGTTAAACCAGATGAATAAATCTAGCTTGGGAATTCCTCAACAGGTCCGCGAAGGCTTTTGTGTCCTACATTGCGTGCTGAAGCCTCTTGCAAAAGCCCAGCGGTTTAACACAGGCGGAGCCAATTCGTGACGGCTCGCCAAAAGTAATTGGCTAGCTAAAAACACGTCCGCAACGCCAGCCCGCGCTTGTTGCGAAGCCTCGCGGAGGCAACCCTTCCACAAATCCTGGCTCTGCAAAGCCTCCAGCGTGGGGTCTCCAACAAAACCACAGCTGACATGAGCAGCGGCGAAACCCGTTCCAATTGGCAATTTTCGTAGATGGGTTTTTGGGCGCTGGTTACATATATTTGCACTTCATAGCTGGCTAGCAAAGTTGCTCAGGTTGCTTTGCCTCTTCCCAGCCGACAACAAGTTGGTTGCAACCACGCAGGGCCCTGGCAGACCTCTTGCCTTGGCCTTTTGCGTGGAGGAGGTGTATGGTGAACACACAACTGACCCCGCTGCCATTTTCTAAGACCCACAGCTGTCTAGCCTGTGCGCCTTGTCACCTGTGCGGGCCCGGCACCTGTCACGTAGACCGGGCAGCCATTAGCTCCAAGTGGCGGTTTGCTATGACGCTTGCGGAGCGAGAGGGAGGTGCACCTTGGAGGGGCTCCACCAGCACCACCACCATGTATTTGCACTTTGCATGTACCCTTTCAACGCCGTGCAAAAAAGCCACTGGCAGTCTGCGTGGCACGCGGCGGCTTACACCATGAGAACTACTGGACATCACTGGTGCAACAGAAACTGTGAAACTGCTGGCCCTGTCAGCACTTGTTGATACACCACTATCATGGTGTATGATTTTGACAGATCCGCCCGAACACGTTGAAGGCTAGAAGCTCCAGAACATTGGCAAGCAAGATCAGGCATCCCAGGCAATTTCTGGACCAGGGCTGTTTAATTTGGTTGTTTGCCCGCAGCAGCTAGAAATGCATACAGTGCGGGCGGGGGAAGCATGATTTTGTGCTGCTTTGCGTTGCACGCAATCTAAACTGTGCTGAAAGTGGTCCTGTACTAATTGGAGCTGTTGTCGGGTTAGGCAGATGTTCAGCGCCCCCACCAAAGCATCAAAGCAAGTCCGAAACCCTACCCGCAGGCGTTGGGACAGGTTCACCCTGATATTCTATTATGTACACGTTGCGTACGGAGTCAAATGTGAAGGCCGGTGGCAGCGTGCGACCATCCTTGTTTAGCCATGTCTGGCCTTGACACGGTGATATCAAAGTGGCTTCCTCTCTCAGGAGAAAGATAACTAGTTTTACCCACGGTGTGGCAATGTAGGCTTAAACAAGGTCACGGCCCCATTAGCGACGCGGGACGCCGTCAGTTTTTCATACGCCACTTTGGTCGGCCATTTTCAAGATCTCTGGCACTTGCGGCCAGAGATCCACTCCAGCATTATATCTTAAGTGAAAGCTTTACGTCCGCTGCCACACATGCGGGCTTTACAAGCAAGACTTGACACTTTATACGTACTGCAGCATGCGTCCAGCAGCTGGGTCCCAGCCATCAGAGGGTTTCTGGCCTGTCAGATCAGGCGCCTAAATTTGTCGAGTCTTTGGGTCACTTCATGAAACCCGATGCCCGCTTCTTTGGCCGTGCGCTTCCACGCGCGGCAGCCATCCGCGAAAATGACCGTGTTGGGTCCGTGGGAGCTAGCCAGGAGATTGCGTTCCTTGCGAAAGGAGGGACCTGTACATATGCATCGTCTTGCTGCATGGCTTGTGCTTCACAACACACACACACACACACACGGGCTATTCGAAGCGCTCGCATAGAAGGCGCGCGCAGTAACGCGGCGTTGTCACTACGTAAATGTGACCCTATGAGGGGATAGCATAAATGAGCGCTTCCCGTCGCATGCGTCAAAAGAAAGAGGACATGCGCGCGCGGACTACACGAACACCGACAGACGCGCGGCTTGAAGCGCGAACCTGCTGCGCGCGGCTTGTGGTAAACGCGACCTGCCTTTGGCAGAAAATATAAGTTGAAGTTAAACTCGCTACGAACGCTCTTACCCCCCGCCCCCCCCCCCCACCAACCCCCACGGTTGTGACACAGCGACGAGCAAAAAACGTCAAAAAATGAAGAATTCCTCCGCGTGGCTAACGTCACCGTGAGCTTAAACAACCAGACATTGGCCACCTGCAAAATTATTGCCTAAAGCCACGCGCAAGGGTTCCTCATGGGCCTCGTGCCGATGCCAGAAGATATGTTTGCCTATATGGAAGGTGTTGCCAATGGACAAATTTCAGGCGACAAAATCTTGGGCTCACGCAGAGACATGAAAGATGCATCTTTAGATTGTCGCCAGGCCTTTGAACAGCACAACTTCAAGAACGTCACCTTAATCACGGAGAGTCGCCGCACCGTTGTCCCGGGCATGAACTCAAGTGAACGGCCGCCAAGCGTGACCGAGTGAGGACTTTTTGGTAATGGTTTGAATGTGTCTTCAGCGGTGATTACATATGTGTGTGAGTATCAAACGTATGTTTGACATTGACAACAGGAAACCAGCCATTATTGGGAGTCTGTGTGCTAGCTTGCAAGCCGCTGTGTTTTCCTTGCTGTGTAGAGTGTAGACCTGTATAAAGCGGAACTCAACTCGTTTGCCCGGAGCCTACCTTTTGACAGTTGCCCACATTTGGTCAACCTTTCTATGCCTGACACCTCTTTTTCCCCAGATAGCTAAAAGCTATAGGGGTTCTAACTTCTAATAAAGAGGGGGAAGTGATTTGCGAGATTGATGGGCTGGTGCTAAGGGGCGTGCAGTTTGGGGTGCTGGTTTTTGCGGATTGGGGTGCTGTTTGAGGTGCTGATGGCAGTGAGGGCGCATCTTTTCAAGATTGACGGCAGGGTGCTAGGGGGCATGCAGTTTGGGGATGCTGGTGCAGGTGCTGTTTTGGGGGTGACGGTGCACGCGTGTTTTTGCATCTTGACGGTAGGGTGCACGGGGGCCAGCAGTTTGGGGTGCTGGTGCTGGTGGTGTTTTGGGATGCTGTTTGGGGAGCTGTTTGAGGTGCTGGTGACGGTGCGGGCGCAATTTGCGATATTGACGCGGGTGCTATCGGGCATGCAGGTGAGGGTGCAGGCACATTTTTGCATCTTGACGGTAGGGTGCAAGGGGGCATGCAGCTTGGGGTGCTGGTGCAGATGGCGTTTTGGGATGCTGTTTGGGGTGTGGCTGGGTGTTTGGGGGGATGCTGTTTGGGGTACTTTTAGGGTGACGGTGCAGGCGCATATTTGCGAGATTGACGGCAGGGTGCAGGGGGCATGCAGTTTGGGGTGCTGCTGCAGGTGCTGTTTTGGGATGCTGTTTGGGGGGTGCTAGTGGTGGCGCGGGTGCTCGATTGACGGCCGGGTGTTGTTTGGGACGCTCTTCGGGGGGTGCTGTTGGAGGTGCTGGTGTGCAATCATTGCTATCTGGGGTCTTTGCTGGTGTAATTTTTTTCCCCAGATAGCTGAAAGCTATAGGGGTTCTAACTTCTAATAAAGAGGGGGAAATGATTTGCGAGATTGATGGGCTGGTGCTAAGGGGCGTGCAGTTTGGGGTGCTGGTTTTTGCGGATTGGGGTGCTGTTTGAGGTGCTGATGGCAGTGCGGGCGCATCATTTCAAGATTGATGGTAGGGTGCTAGGGGGCACCCTGTTTGGGGGTGCTGGTGCAGGTGCTGTTTTGGGGGTGACGGTGCACGCGTGTTTTTGCATCTTGACGGTAGGGTGCACGGGGGCCAGCAGTTTGGGGTGCTGGTGCTGGTGGTGTTTTGGGATGCTGTTTGGGGAGCTGTTTGAGGTGCTGGTGACGGTGCGGGCGCAATTTGCGATATTGACGCCCGGGTGCTATCGGGCATGCAGGTGACGGCGCAGGCACATTTTTGCATCTTGACGGTAGGGTGCAAGGGGGCATGCAGCTTGGGGTGCTGGTGCAGATGGCGTTTTGGGGTGCTGTTTGGGGGTGCTGTTTGGGGGTGCTGTTTGGGGTGCTCTTATAGGGTGACCGTGCAGGCGCATTTTTGCGAGATTGACGGCAGGGTGCATGGGGCATGCAGTTTGGGGTGCTCCTGCAGGTGCTGTGTTGGGATGCTGTTTGGGGTGCTGTTGGAGGTGCTAGTGATGGTGCGTGCTCGATT